GCTTGAAGAAGTGCTATCGGGCCAGAACGGACTGACAGCTAATGTGCAAGATGCAATGCTCGTGCATGCACTGACAACCGGCCCAGCCATATCGTCAAGAGTGGTAATGAAGCACCTGTTTCAGTCGTTCGTTTATCAGTCAGACTAAATGTGATTTGTTCAGTTCGACGAATGCGGTCCGATCCAAACCAACGAACCAACCGCCATCGGTTGGGAGAAGAAAACGTCAACACCGGTGTACGAAGTGGAGAGCTACAAAGTGAACATTCGCTCAGTTAAAGGCCAGAAGGTTCTGATCGCTTTGCAGGCATTCGCCCAGGTACAGTAAACAGCGCGTTAACAGCGATTCGCCCTTCAGGTCTTTCTCTTGGCCTTGTCTAGAACTTGTCATATGTTTTCTCTGACTGGTTCAGCCGCATCCCTGAAAAGATATGCTCTAGCAGGTTGAACGCTCTTCCGGATAATTCGAACTGCGTCTCTGAGCGGTGAGTACTTGTTTTTAATATTCATAAACTCTGGCTTCGCTTTTTTGAACACGGCGAATGAAGGTTCTTAACCGGCGGTAGTATAGTCAGATGATCTTTACTGATTGCAATACATTATACATCCCTGTAAAATTTAGATTGCACATTTCTACAGAAACTGAAACGTCAAAACTTTCAGAGTAAAGCTTACATTTTAAGTCGGTTTTTAAATAAGGGTTGTCGTTGTTTGCCTGAAGTAAAGCCTCAGTTCGAAGCTGAGGTAGATAACTTCGAAAACTTAATTTTTTTTGTTCAAGCCTGTTGATAAGCAATTAATCTATTTCACAGTTAAAATCACTGTCCTGAAGTCTAAGCGCAGTTATGGAAACGTGTGAGTTGGTGTTGTTGCAGTCTTCATCTAAGGCAAAACACTTTAATCGAAGATTTACCCTATCAGTAAATTGATTACTCGTCAACATTGTATCTTAGACTTGTCTTTGGCGTTGTTAATGATGGATTGCTTCATTTCTCGTAGGTTTGTTTTGATAGAATTTTAAAGGTTTAATTGGCTTTTTGCGCCTACCAGAGGTCAGTCTGCCTAGCTGCTGAAAATTTGCGCGCAGTTCTCGCATAAGCTAGTAAACAATTACCAAGTTGCAGGAATAAAAATATCCGACGGGTTTTCATTTACTGTTAATTTTGTCGTCTCTGATTACATAGGCCGGCTTTTTCGATGGTCTGCGCCTAGTCAATTTAATTCCATTATCGCAAGCACTTGTACCTTTATAAGCTGTGATTTTCAGAATTTTTCAAGTAGTTAAGTGTTTAAAAAGCTAACTGGCCTGCTGATGTGCTAAAGCGATTTTTTGGCATAACCAAGCAGATTACTAGTAGATCGATTGCTGAGCCCCTGACAAAATGTTAGTCAACTAATTTGTAGGTAGTGCAAGCCTGCATATATGATTTTGAAGGAGTGTGTTCGAGGAAGCATAAATATATTGTTTCAGTAGAAAATTATGTAATATAATAATTATGTACATACCTCTATCCAGACGTTAAAACAGCAAACGCCAATGTACGATTATCGACTTCAAAGTCTGCCACTTATCAACAGATCATATAGTTTAGTCGTTATTTAAAGGCATTGCTAGTCTGATCTGCTGAACAGTCTAAACTAGTTATGCTTGGTCGAATCTAAACAGTCTCATCCAGATGAAAATGAGAATAAAAAATTAGCCTATTCCCTAATTATGAAACTAATTATAGCCCTGATGATCCGCAAACGTTGCAGACGTTATTTTAAGATCATGAAGAAACTCAGATGGTCATTTAATTAACGATGAGTTCGAGAACGAAATCAATTAAATTAACAATGTCTGTTTTCTGTTGATAGATGAAAATCATGTCCCTGTCAAGGACGGTTAACAACAAGTTCATGTGGGAATATCATCACATGCAAAGGTACGGTAGGATCATATTCACTTCAGCTGATACGGTCGAAGTAATGCTTGGCCAAACTAAGAAACGATAGGCAAATTAGGCTCTGATGATATGTAGTTATTACAAAATTGTTCTTCCTATCACAACTTCAGGCCCATTCACTCATCATTCGTAGTTAGCGCCAATACTAAGTGTCACGTTTCGACTGTGAATGAGCTGTAGCATAGAATTCTACTGCACTGAAAAAACAGTAAAGACCAAGGATATTCAGGAACTGTCGAAAAACGGTCAAATCATGGTTCATGTCAACAGCAGCAACGCGTTCTTTCGACAAATCACTGTTGGTGAAAAAGCGTAGTTGAATATAGTTTGTTTTGCAAACCTGTAAAGTCGTTATCCCCTCCAAACTCGTATTGCCAGCCACTGTCGATAACGATAGCATTCTAAAAACGCAGCTGCGGAAAATGTTGTGTAGTACATTAATTTACTTAGTTTTTATCACTTATATCTCGTAACCGCACAGCCGTGTTGTTACAGCTGTCCCCAATACTGGCTTAGCTGACTTCATTGACACCTTGAATCGCTGCTTTCATACTTCATCGACCAGGCCAATGTCCGCCACCATGTTCAGCCAGTTTTTCTTCTACTGTTAATACCAGCACACTACCTGCACAGACAGGTTAAACAACAGTTCTGACAGTGTTCCACTACGTCTTTAGTTGTCTACCTATTTTCCGGTGTTTTCCAAGGACCAGGGTGCCATTCAGTATAATGGAGGGGATGTCGTCGATTGGAGGTCTGAGCGCATGCCCCAGCCAATGCAGTCGCCATTCTCGTAGAACAACAGATAGTTAAATGATGTTGCAACAGGCACTGATTGTGGCATTGGATATATGGTCGAAGTTGTTCGCGAGATAAACACAAATGATAAAAAAATTCCAGTTTCTTCACGTTTTTGACTCAGGGTTCAGCGCTTACACCTGTAAAGAAGATAGAGCAGATTGCCTCCTGCATAACTCGTCATTTCGTCTTCAGACGGATCTTCCGTCGTTTCTACAGCAACTTGCAGAACAGGAGAAAATCTGCCTTGCTGCTGCTATCAGAGCTGTAATCTCTTCGTTTGATTGTCCGTTGGGATAATTGGAAAGTCAGTTCATTTGAAGGCAGTGACTTCTTTAAATCGCTCATAGCAGCACAATTGTTTTCGGGATCCCATAAAAGAATACTTTCGTTTTTGCCGCGTTTATGTTTAGTGACACTGCTGCAGCTAAATTACGTCAAATATTCATTTAATGACGTATTGTGCATCGTCTTGGTTCGATGACATAATGGTGATAATCTCCGGTAATCGAGATTACTGATATCGTGACCACGACCAACTGCGACACAGGCAAAATCCTTCAATCATGGACTAATCAATAACGAAACTGAACAGTACAGTCGAGAGGACGCAGCCCTGTCCGACGACAGAGGTAAAGTTAAAGTCTGTCAGTTCGCTATAGGTTCTTCTAGTTCGTGTCCTGCGATAGTATGCCTTGAGTAAATTTACAAGCTTCAGGCGAATGCGGCTCATTTCCATAACGCGTCATTGGGATTCTCGATTAAGCGAATCGATAAGTGTACTGTAAAGTGTAGAACTCTTCAATCAACTGACCGGAATGAATGTCACAAAATGACTAGGAAGATTGGTTGCATCCATGGGAATGATTTTTCAGATTCATTCACTATTTTAGCAGTTTAACGTAGTTTTGAATTTCGGCAAGATCAGTCGTTTTAATTTTAAGATCTCTGCGGTGATTTAATTTCAATTAATTTTAACTGAATATATCAGCATGTCAGTAAGTTATGCTAGCTTTATTCATGCAATGACGTCGAAAACTCGTGCTTGTGCTCTTGCTCATTGATTACTCTGACAATTTCTTCTTCCTATGTCTAACACGTGCCTTTTCATGCTCCGTTGCTTAATGTGTAATTCCTGAGCAGCTTTCGGGCATAAGGTCTATGTATTACATCCATACGTTAGCACTGGAAGCAAACTGTAATAAACGACATGCCGGTTCAAGTACAAGAACTATTTCTGAAATAAGAAAATTTTCCATCCTCCAAAAGAGTTCAGTGAATTTTTAACTCTTCTATTGTTTCGTAGAGTCGGTTCTGTGTTGTAGATACAAGTCGTTCCAGATAGACATTGTTTCGCACCTCTTTAAGCCATATTTAATTTAAGTTTCAACTGCGGCATTCTTCTTAAATTGCTTCTATGTCGAGTGCCTTGCGTTTCGTCGTCAGCCACTTCATTCTTTCTAAAGCCGAGTTCAGACGCACCTTCCGTCTAGCAAGTCTGTGAGCGCTTCTTACAATGAACTCTTTCAGCACCGCATCGTGATGCACGGTTTTCGTCATGTTAATGAGGATGAAATCGATTTCGTTCTATGCCCATTTTCCGCTTGGCTTTTTTCTAAAACAATGATGCTGTAATGAATAACTTGTTGCTTTCAACAAACTCCTCTAGTCGGTCATTCCTGTCATTCCTTACGCTGTATCACAATCGACCCAGCGGTCATTCTTTTATTGCTACGGTCAGACTTTGTCACTCAGGGCACTAACGATGAATTATGATGGCTATTCCCGTGTTAACCTAGTTCTTCTATTTCTTCATACAAACCTTCGACCTGTTCATCAGGATGGCTTGATATTGGCTCATGCAATTGCATTACCTGATGTTTGTATCCCTTGAAACTC